TCATCTAAAAAACAATTATATGTTTAATAAAATTATTGAAAATGGAAATTCTAATGATTTTTATAAGATAATCATTTTTTTGGTGTCTTTTACAGTTTTTGAATAAATAAGAATAAATATGATTTATATCGTCTCTTTGATAATAGTAAAAAGAAAAAATGAAATGAATTTTTGTTAGTAGATTAATAACTTTTGAACTATAGGGACTGTTAAATTAATGTAACTTTGTGGAAAATGAAATGTTACTGCGTTTGCAACGTCGATTTGAGAAACGAAACGACGGAGGCTGGTACCAGCGTAAACCCCTTGGGCAAACCACGCTCCTTATCGATCTGCCCCTGAGACACTCTCTTTCAAGAGTAGAGTAGAGGAGGTTAGAGTGGAATTGAGTGGAGTGAGGTGGGTTTTGGGTGGGTTTATATGGGTACGTGTAATATAGACCTCAGTAGAGCGCCGCCTACTCGAGCGTAACTCCACAGTCAAAGCCAAGCCTATCAATATTTCCTCCGAGAATCCTTCATGCTTCCTTCGTCTCACATATCATGAAAGAGCAGAATTCACTCTCTATTTTTCTCTCTCTCTCTCTATATATATATATTTTTTTTTCTTTCTCTCTCTATATATATTTTTTTTTTCTCTTTTTAGTTCACTTCCTCTCTAATCAGAATTTTACCTCTTCTTTTTACTACTCTGGCACTTACAATATATATATAATAGCCTATACTGTGCATTATATTTCAATGTAGATCAAATAACAGACATAGAAACAAAGACGACATATTGTGAAAGAAAAGATTTACAGTGTATAAGGCAAAAATTTGATTTGAATTTAATTTATTTATATTTAAATATTTTTTTTAATTTTTTAAAAAATTTTATAAGACGCATGAATTTTTCAAAAAAAAAATTTTAATTAATTTGTTTGAATTTTTATTACAATAATTTAAATGTATTGGATTGATACCAAATTGATATAAAAATTTTGATTCAATTTGATATTTCTCAGTATCAATTTGATACCTTAAAATTATATAATAATAAAATGCTTGGTCTGTCCTTCTGTCCTAACTTGAAGTTGGCCTTCTCTGATTTCAGGTGTTTTTTTGAATAGTAATCTTATGACGTGTCAAATTTTGACAATTCTTTTTCTCATTTTTGCCAAAGTTGTATAATTGTGTTTCCAAATTTCGGAATAAGTTTCTTTAAAATTCCAAAATTCAATACACGAAGCTGAAGTACACAACGTTTACCAACGGAATTTTTTTAAAAGTTGTATATTGATTCAAAAATTGTATACAAATACAAAAAATTTATGATGAGAAAAAAGATGCGCCAGGAAATTTCGTACAAGATAGTAATTTGAAAAAAATTTATTTTTAAAAATTAATTTTTAAGGTACCAGGGGCCAACGAATACCTATTAAATATTAATTATAAAAACACAGGCCTCGAATCAACTTAAAGACACAAAAAGTCGTTTCAGTCGATTTATATTCCAAAAAAAGTGGATTTGTTTTTTATTTTAACAAAAATATTTTACAGATTTTTAAATAAAAAATTTTTTTTTAATAATAATCCTTTTCGAAGGGTTAAAGTTGAAATTTTTAGAAATAATTAAATTTCAAAAGATATTGTTATAATTTTCAAATAATTATTAAATTTTACAGAACTGAAAATAATTTATCAAACAATTTTTGGAAAACATTTTTTAAATTTAATTGAATTATCAAAGATTTAAAATTGAGATTTTTGAAATGAATTGAAACTTTAAGTGACTTTTAATTAAAATTTTAGATGATTTCACTAAAAATTTATTAGAAAATGCGGACAAAATACAATAATTTGAAAATCATTTTTAATTGAAAAATGGTTTCAGATAGTTGAATTTTCAAAGAATATTATTAAAATAGTTCAAAATAATTGAATTTCCTTAGAGTTATAATTGAAATTATTAAATTTCAAAAAAAAAAAATTTCGATGGAAAATTTTAGATGCTTTTAAATTCAAATTATTGAAAATTCAATTAATTTTGAATTCAAATTTTTGAGAATAATGAAATTTTATTTAATTTCAAATTTGGAAAATAATTGAATTTTAGTTCATTTTGAATTCAAAATTTTGGGAAATAATTGAATTTTAATTGAAATTTTGGATAATAATTTGATTTAAGTTCATTTTTGATTGAAAATTTGGATCATTAATTTTGAATAGAAATTTTAGAAAATAATTGAATTTTATTTCATTTTAAATTGAAAACTTGGTAAATAATTAAATTTTAAATTGAAAATTTTGGATAATTATTGGATTTTGAATTAAAATTTCTTGTAATAATTGAATTTTAGTTTATTTTGAATTGAAATTTTTAAGAAATAATTCAATTTTAGTGTGATATTTTTTTAAAATTATAAACAATTGTTAAATTTCATAAAAATTTTAATTGAAAAATAATTTTGATATAATTGAATTTGTGATGTATTTCATTAAAATTATTTAAAATAATTAATTTAGTGAAGAATCATTTTAGTTCAAAATTTGTTAAATAATTGAATTGATGAAGATCTGAAGAAGATCTACATTTTATACTAGAAAAATGTATTTTATTTACATTTTTTCAAATGTAAAGAAAAGAATGTAGCATTTTATTAAAATATGTCGATAAAAGTCGTTTTTTTGAAAAAGGTCGGAAAAATTCGTATAATCCGAGGCCTGTAAACATATAATTTTCGTTATTATCATTTAATATGTAATAATATTCTAATAAATTAAATTATTATTGATAATATTAATCATTATTTTCAGGTTGTTAAATAATAGTTAATAAATATTTTATGTTTTTTTCTTAAAAGTTAGTGAATAATTTTATTTTTTATCCAATTTTTATAAACAAATGGCTCATTATTGTCATAGAAAAATTTGTGGTTAAATAATATTAATTAATTTTAGTGTTTTTTGTTTAAAGGTCGTAAAGAATTACAATTTTCATCCAATTATTATAGAACGATAATATATATTAAACGTTAAATTTTGTTGAGAATATTCTTTTCAATTGTTATAGAGAGATATTTTATTGTTACAGGTAAAATTTTTTTATTTTTTTATAATTATTTAACAAAAACGAGCAAACATAATTGTAGAGAAATATCTTTAAAAAAAACCCCGACTACTAAATTTTAGGTGAATCAAATAAAATTTAAAAAATTCATCCGCCATTTTGAATTTTTGAAAACTAACATTGGATTCGTAATCAGCGACCCCGAAAACCCCCGAGTGACGAGTTTCAAGAGAATCCGATGAATTAAAAAAAAATTCCGCCATATTGGATCCGCCATTTTGAATTTTTGAAAACTGACATCGAATTTGTAATCAGCAACCCTAAAAACCCCCAAAGGTTGTCATTTTCATGAGCTTAGTCAACTTTTTGAAAATATTTGAATCTTTGTCAGCCATTTTGAATTCGCCAATTTTGTATTTTCCCCAGTGTTTTGGGATTTTGGGTTACGGTTTTTATAAAATTTAGGTGTCAAAGAATAACTTCTAATTGTTAAGAAAGTTTTTATTCTCGTTTGCCAAAAATTGGATCTTTTTCAGCATCCTCCGTTTTCGGTGCCAGTGTAAACTATTTGTATTCAAAAATAAATATTTGTTTTCTCTAATGACTGTAATATAATTTCAAATATTTTCAAATATATAGGTTTTAATTTATCATCAGTTTACAGAAGTGTAAATAAATTTCTAAAGAGGGATTTGTGTTGCGAAAAGAATAAATTTGAATGTAGTACAATAACCATATTTAATATATTCGAAGTAAAAAATGACTAAAAGAAATTTTATCAAGCATATGAATACCTAGAATCGTTTTGTAAAATATCTATTTTATGACATCAAAAATCTTCTAACAAATTGACAAACTTTTATTGAAATATAATAAATCCTTAAAGAAATAAAATGAATATAATTTTTTGATGTTATATAATAACCTGAAATTACAATATCAATGTCCATTTTACTCAATTGATGATAGAAAAGGGACCATCAAAATAAGTGCAATAGACCAACTCCATCAGCCATAGCTCTGTTGACCTTTAACGGTTTCCTTAGGGAATATCCGATTAATTCAAATGTTTTTGCGTTACTATATACCCGTAGTGTTAGTACGATTGCGAAGGGTTGTGTAGACATATAGGGATCCAAATCCCTAAGGATGACATTATTGCGTATCAGCATCACACAAACTGCAAGAAGTAACATACATATACACCGGAGTGAGAAAAGGAACATTGGGGGAACCTCTATAGTTCCATTGATCTGTTCACATATGTCTCGAGATTTAATCAGTTACTACTTAAAGCTTTATCTCTTGTTTATCTACCACTCGACTCGGTTCACGCCCTTTGAGACCCCTTTCGTGCGGCTAAATAATCAAATTGAGTGTAATGTGTATCAAATTTCGTGCAATTTATATTTTATTCGATCATTGGCAACGTGTGTTAATGGATGTACACGCAAATAAACCCATAGACCTAATGGTATTTATTAATTTTTGGTATTAATTATAAAATATAAAACGAATTATGTGGAAAAATTTTAATATCAATTGTAAAAAAAAGAAATCGAGACTGTCTGGATGATCAAGAATTATTGGATATTAAACTCTAGACGAATGTTATGTATTAGGTATAAATATTTTGATCAAAGCAGAAAGACTACGTTCCGACGGAAAGTGACTAGTCGATACTGATACTGCAGTTGCGTATGTTACGAAGATTTAACATAAATAATTTTAAAATTATAAATATTGTTTTGAGTCTGGACTCTCGTCCAATAATTCGATTTCATTTTTGTCGAAAATACTGAAAAAGGAATTTAATTTTATAAAAGCATGAAAAAATAATTCCGCTTGGGTATAGCACAAAAATTTCTCGGAAAAATTAAAATTTACAATTTGTGACAAAATAATCGCGCACAATTGATTCTTCATTTTTTTTGAAAATTTTGACTTACCGGTTAATTGATGAAACAGATGGCACGTTGTCTTGCGAGCAAATGCCTTCCGCAAGCAACCTGTCCCTGATCTCCCAAGCAAACATCGTCGGATTATCTCTTTTGTAATTCGCGATTGCATCTACAACTGGTGGCGTTGCTACTTTTGGTTTGGAACCTCCTATTACACCAGCTTTAAAACTTCCTGTCTCGTAATACCTGAAAGCAAAAAAAAGATTATTATTATTTTCCCAAATTTTCTTATTGCACGGAAAAAAAATTCCCCCAGTAGCCTAACAACTTTTTGTACGTTTCTAATGAATTATTTTTTTATATATCCCTGCGTGTATGACATGCAAGATATGTCAAATACAACAATGATATAGTTTTTCTTTTCTTTTGATAAGTGATTATATGTATTTGGTCATCAATGTGGCACGAGGCAACCACAATCTTAATACAGGGTGAAGGGTGCAAGCAAAAAACATGCAAAAGACATTACGCTGTCTCTATCACGCGACCCAGGATCTTCCTTCCGGTTTCCATGAAGCCACAGCTTTTGTCGGTTCCCTTTCCGTACGTTAAAGTTCCCTTTCTGACAATGCTTTAATTAAATCATCTCTCAAGACTTTTTTTTCCCACAAAAAAATAGAAAACTTTTTTATTAAATTTTTCAAGTACAGGGAGAAAAAATGATTTAGCTGTATAGCAGAAAATATGCATTAGCTGAAATTAATTATCTGGTTGTGCTAACGATTTAGCTGATATGGCAAATTATTTACTATTGCAGCTAATAGATATTTGCTATTGTGATGAAAAGTATTAGCTTTAATCCTTACTTGCCACAGCTAAGGTCCGTGCGTGTAAACCCCGTAGCCGGTCGGCATTGTGGCGTGATGCCAATTTTACTTCGCGTCAAAAAGGTATTAACAGTTAACCGTGGAAAAGTATTGTTAAATGCAGTGATATATTAGTAAGTAGATATTAATTATTATTCAAAAATGTTGAATGTCTCCTAGCTGACATAACTATAACAGCATCCAGCTAACATACTAACACTAACTACTTTTTATAAATAATGGAAACATTTGTTTTTTCTAGGATGTTGATGGACATTAATCCACAAACAGGACACAAGAGAGGAAGAAAAAATAAATTAAAAAAAACCGAAGAGGATTCAAAAGTGATCAGGTTAATTGCAAATATTGTCAGTTTTAATTCATAAAAGTGATCTTCCTGAAACCAAAATATTATAAAAGATACACTTCTGCCTTTCTTTAAGAAATATACTTAAGTATTTTAATATTAATAGAATTCGAATAGAATTATTTTTATGTCGTTTTGTAAATAAAAACTTTTTATACAAACTTTTATTTATTTATTTATAGCCTTTATTTATCAAATAAGGATAAAATTTCCGGTAGTTTGAAACAATTATTACTTAATGATAGGAAAAATATTCGCAAAAATAGTCGGTATAATTTCCAATTGATTCGGAAAAGATGATAAGTAAATATGAGAAAAAATATCTGATAGATTTGGAAAAAATACTGAAAAAAATTGGGGATAATATCTGTCAAATTCGGAAAAAAATCCGACTTATTAGTAGGAAAAATTTTCGAAATATGTCGGAGATAATTCTTACTATTTATTCGTAAATATTTCCACCCCTTGGGGTTCCGTGCTGTTCATATTTTTTTGGAAAAATTTTTTACAGTGTAGCTAATCAAATTGGTATCTAAATAATAGCAATTAAAATTAGCTGAAATAGCTATGAGTTAGATATATATCAGCTAACTTTTTTCTTCGTGTACAGACAAAATATAATACTATATAATAGTAATTAAAAATGTCTTTATTATTTTGTTAGAAGGTAAAAGAAATCAAATTAAAATATTCATAAGAAATATGATTGAAATGTGCAAGCTATAGAAATATATATGAAAATATTTGTGCTATAATTAAAAATTGTGTATTTTAAAAGAAATTTTTAAGAAGTAGCTATGTGACATGTGAAATAAGAGTCGGAGTACACGAGCCGTGACTGTGTAAACAAGCTACTTTTACCAACTAATTTCTGCAATTCTGTCGGTTCGTTAAAAAATGTTTTATATACGTGTATCTCGTGTCGAAATTGTCCGACTTCACCTCATTTAAAGTAGGGCGTTGATGAGGAGCTAGTTAGGTTACCTATCTATATATAGAAAACAATTAGGCTTTCATCAAAATAGATATTTTTTTACTCATATTATTTAAGGTTAAATGCTTTATTTTAATTCAATTTATTAATTAATAACAAGTTCAGTTAATTAACAATTATAATTATTGATCGAAATGAAAATTCCATGTTAATTTTAAGTTTACACAAATCTATTATAATTCTGTTGCAAAATTAAGTTATATAGGATATCTAACCGGTTTAATAGGAAACAAAAAATTCATTAATGAGAAAAGCGCAGGCGCAATTTATAATACCATTTATAATTTTAAAAAGAAAAAGTAAATTGTTGCACAAAAATCTTTGTTTAATTGATGGAATACGTCTCACAAGAAAACGTAAAAATACATTTTGAATACGTTCAAATTCAATTAGTACTGAAACTTCTGTACCTATATTTTATAGTAATGCTTAAAAAAGTTTTTATGTTTAGTAAATAAGATGACATAACATTTTTTAATTTTCAAAAAAAGCTTGTTTAAGATAGACCAATCAACAAGCCTACTAAGATCACCCTGAATATCAATAGAGCCTTGTTTACAAGAGATAGTTTTATATATAATTCAAGGTCGTCGTTAACTTTTAACCAGAGTTGGTGAAACTGTCCCTTAGGGAATCAGTGAAAATTACAAATTTTTATATATTGCAGATTCTGATCATAATTTATAGGCTCCCTGAAGATTCCTTTTAAATTTTCTTGTAGTTTCCAAGAGAAATCTATCGGCAATTCTAATAATTTCCTTCTCCCTGGAAAATGGAAGCTCTATCTGAATTCCAAAAATTATTTTCATCGAAATTCCGCAATTTTTCCGTTTGAAACAAAATTCTGTCGGAATCACTAGGAGACTCTTCTTAATATTTCCAAGTGGGTTGGAAGGTTTCTTTAATGTTTCATTAAAGGAAGCTCTGTATATTTTAGAGAAAAATTGAAAATTCTAACCTAGTCTGTGGAAGAAGTTAGAAGAATATGCTTGTAATATCTTCTGTGAAGTCTCCTTATTGTTAGAATCAAAATTATTGAGAATCAAACTTCAGCAATATTTTCGCCCCTTCTAAATAGCGAAACTATTGGGGTGAAACTGAGATGGCGGAAAATGTATTGCGTTTTCCCCCTTCAGAGGCAAAATTATGGAGTAGCTAGTCTTCCCAAAATCATGTTTTTAGGGAGACTCGATCTGCGTTTTAGAATCTTAGCACACTTGTATAACACTCACTTCGAAGTCCCTACTAAATTTTCTTTATTTAAAATGCATTCCTTACGAAAATAATCTGTAAGACTTTCAAAGAATTTTTAGTTATTAGTTAAAAACGATTTTTTATCTGGGTTAAGAACGCTTCTTACACTTTTCCCTTGTTTATGAAGCATTTCCTCTTAACCAACCAGCTGTTATACAAGAAATCCCATATGATTGACCATACTAGTGTGTCAAACATTTTGTACGTAAAAATTTTATTACGTATTATTTTATTTGCATTACATTCGTCATCCTATTGTATATGATTCTACCCTTTAGTGCTGGATATTTCTATTTACCACATTTTCTTGTTCTATATTGCAGAAATATTCCCCCAAAATCTCTTAATTTAAATCAGCTATAAGTATATTAACACTAGCTCAGAATCTGTGAGATTCCGCTGATTCAGATTTAGAGAGAATCTTCAATGGAAGCTTATTCGTCTTCGACAGAAATATCATAATACCCGGGATGAAACATGTAGGTATTCCAAAAGTAAACTTGAGTCACATAGTATTCGAATAAGTATTCCTCCGTGCCAAAAGGTAGACTGTGGAATACTTTGAGAAAAGTTACTAAAGTAAACTGATGGTATACTAAGATCTACCACATAGAGAGGAGAGTATACCGTTCGTATACATTGGGATATTATATGAATTTTTCCAAATTATCTTGTAATGAACTCCAATTATAGAGTTCTAATGGTGTCTGATAGATGTCGCATTGTCATATAGACAAAAATTCTTCTTAATAATAAATGTGAATAAAAATAAATAATATTAAATGATAATTAATTTATTCATTGAATATTTTTTGATACATATAAACACCAAATATACACAAAATTTTTTTCTTAAATAACGTAATTATACATAATATGTAATACTTAATTAATTAATATACAAGTTAAATAAATAAATAGATAAACAAAAAGATAAATAATTATCTGAATTAAATATTTGAAGCGATAAGTAATATGGTATATCCTTTATAAAACTCATAATTCCGTACCTGAAAAAAATGTCAACTTTAAGTTGCATTCTAATCAATGATATATTTAAATATTTTAATGTTATTAAACTATTTTTTATAAAAAATTTTTTTGTTATAATATTTTATACAATAATTTATTAAATAAACTATTACAATTGGCAGTGAATACAAGGTTAACATTTATAATATTAATATTATATTATAATATTTAATAAAATACAAATTTCTGGTTAAGTAAATAAAAAATATATGAAAAAGTTACTTGATTTGCTTATAATTTTTTCAGCATATGATTTCGTACCATCCGATGGGTAATTTGTCATTAATGAATTGTGTCACTTAGTGCAGGATTTTTTTAATTAAAGAATTATCTTACACTTGAAATTATTTCGTTTAATAAAAAACTTTAAATATTACATTAAAATAATAATTAATAAATAAATTCTCAATTAATTCTTCACTTTAACTCACTAACTACCAACTGTAGGTTCCCCTTCGTTCCTGGCAAATGCTAGAAAGCAACTGAAAACTTGAAGGTCTGCCTTAGGAAAATTTTTGAAAAAATACTAAACATTTAAAAACATTTTCTTCGTCTCTTTGCATCTTCAAAATTCACACATTTTCTATCTAAATAAATCTATAAGAAAAAAACAGGTACCGAAAAACTCATAAAATAGGACCTCTTGCATCGAGAAACCCTTGACTGGTCATCCTAATGCAAACCAGATGTGGCAAACCTTTAAAAACGAAAAAATACTCCAATCTCTTCTTTAGAGTAAAAGTATTTTGCAGTATTAATAAAAATCTTTCTTCTTGTTATCAGTTATGTTTAGTAGTTCTTACTCAAAATATAATACTAAAATTTAAATAAAATACTGTAAATCTCAGTTTATTAGGTATTATTTTATTTATTTATTAGTGCCATTCTAATTTTCCTTAGATAGTTTAACTTTAAAAATTTTTAAATGTGTTTTTCAAATTACATATAAGTAGGAAATTTGTTCATTCCGGAATATTTAGGAAATAAATCTTTTGAAGGGATAGGCAGGAAATCTGAATCTAAAAGTTCTAAATTGACTTCTAAAAGTCAAATCAATCGCTAAATTCTCGCTATATTTGAATCAGTAAAATGTCACTGATCTTCAGTAAAAACTACTGATTCTCAGTAAAATTCCACTAATTTTCAGTGAAAACCACTAATTTAAATAGCTGGGATTTAGAAACTGATTAGAAATCAGTAACTTTTCACTTATTCTAATTTAAAGAGGTGTTCAAGCGAAGATTCTTTTGAGATTTCATTCGATAAGGTTATCATATGAGACGAATATTTGATTATTATAAATTGATTTTTTTCAATTATTGAAAGATTGATAAATGAAACACTGTTTTACTTTTACAACGTTTTGGTGTCTTGGTTTTGATACCATCATCAGGCTACTTTAAGAAATTAAATTAAAATCTTACAAATGAAGAATAGAATTTATAATTGAAAATAATTTTAATAAACAAATAAAAGAACTTTTTTAAATAAAAAATATATCTCTACCTGGTGAATTGTTAATTAAAATAATTTGTTACCGTAGTAACTCGTCTTAAACAAATAAATAAATCAAAAAAATTGTAAAAACGAGAAGCACCGACATTCTTCTCGAGTGACAAAATAAAACTAAAATGCAAAGATGCGACAATTGTTACATTTGATATACAGCGCGAGCGGAGTCAATGAACTCAAATGAAAATAAAAGTAATCACTTGTAAACAATATCAGTTTGGTTCCATTTTTAAGTTGTGTATTTACCTCACTTTACAATCGAATTCAAATTTTTATTAACCATTATTAAATTATGTGACCTGCTGATGGTGTCAAACCAAGAAAGTGAAACGTTGCAAAAGTAAAATAGTGTGTCATTTATCAATCTTCCAATTGAAAAAAATTAAGTTACACTGCAACAGTGTATATTTATTGAAATGAGTAATTTTTACTTGAGTTAAATTACAAGAAAATTCTCTCACCCCACGTGGACAGGTTAATTCCATTGCGGGTTTAAAGATTAATAAAATCATAATAATTAAATTTATAAAAGCTGTTAATTTTTCCCGGCGCCAGACGATTTTTAATTATTTGAAATAAAATTGATTTTTAACATTTACTTTAGTATTTTAACAAGAAAAGGGGGGTAAAATGGGAATAACCCAAATAATAAAAACTGCGAGCATTGTCGACAATTGGTTTTAATAATTGGAAATTTACTTTCAGTATAAGTCATCCAATTCTCTATCCAAATGATGAGGTAACCTCTCAAACAGTCACACAATTATAATATGAAATTTAGATTTATCAATAGTCGACTCTCTTTACAGCAATTGATCCTAGAATGGATTATTTTTCATCGAATATGCGTTCTATACCGGCGAGAAAATCGTCGCGCAAGCTCCGTTGCTATGACAACATTTAGGAATCTAACAAAATTCGTCCGTCTTATATAATTTTAGTCGACTATACCCGGTAAGAAGCGAGGAATAGAGAAAAATTGAAAGTTTGCAGACATAGAGCAGAAGTTAAGAATTTTTAATTTTTCTGAATAGGCGATTTTACGTTTTTACCCAATTCCTCACTGAACATCAAAATATCAGAAAAATGAATTCTTCTCTATTCCCAGTAGAGGTAAGTCAATAGAAAAGAATTCAGACTTCTTATTCTTCTTAATGCGCAAAGTTTCATATTTTCAAATTTTTGGTAGCGAATAGAGAAAAATTAAATTTTTGGAGAGTAAAATTTAAATATCTATTCCTTTCAATCGACAGTATCAAAATTTCTGAAGCGCATTGAAAGGAATAAGAAATTTTGAGAGTGAAGTGGATATGTCTATTCCTTTTAATTGATTGTGTCAAGGAGGAATTTAGAGGAATCAGGAGCGTATTTAGAGGAATAGAAAATTTTAGATTAAATGAGGTATCTTTATGCCTTGCAATTGACTGCGTCAGGTTTTTAAGAGCATATTCAGAGGAATAGGAAATTTAGTGTATAAATTCAGTATTTCTATGCCTCGCAATCGCCTGAGTCAAGTTTTTAGGACCGTATTCAGAGGAATGGGAATTTTGTAATATGAATTAAATATTTCTATTTCTTGCAATCGACTGCGTCAGATTTCTAAAAGTGTATTGAAAGGAATGAAAAAACTGGCGAGTATATTAATAATTCCTAATCATTTCAATTTTTTTTTAAATATTATAAGAAGCGAAAGAAAATGAATATAAATTTTAAGATTTTAAAAGAATATAAGTAATAATTAATTACTAACTAATTTAACTAGTTGATCATTTTCAATTCTTCTGAATGGGTGAATTTACGTTTTTACTCAATTCCTCATTCAACATCAAAATATATAAAAAATAAATTCTTTTCTATTCACAGTAGAGATAACTCAATAGAAAAGAATTCAGGCTTCTTATTTTTCTTAATGCGCGAAGTTTCTTATTTTCAAACTTTTGGAAGCGAATAGAAAAAAATTTAATGTTTGGATAGTAAATTTTAAATGTCGCATTTTGGACCGCATTCAGAAGAATAGAAAATGTGGAGAATAAATGAGGCATTTCTATGTTTTACAATTGACAGCGTCAGGTTGTTAAGAATAATATGTATATAATTTAGAGTATAAATTTTGGCCAAGTCAATTAAGAAGAATAGATTTTTCTACTTTTTTTTTGCTTCATCGAGGAATTGAATAAAAACGTAAATGCTCCCATTCAAAAGAATTGGAACTCTGAGTTCTTTTCAATTATTCGCCTCTTACCGGGAAATTATTTTTATACTTGAATATTCTGTAAAATAGAATTTTAATAATATTAGTCAATATATGAGACCTGAACTATTTATTTATATTATATGGAAATATTTCCATAAGCTTAAGAAAATTCTGGTAAAAAATTGACTGCTGATTAAGTATTAGCATTGTATAAATTACATTAGTTTGTTAAAAAAATTTGCTATATCAACATTGTTACTTAATTTATTTTCGAAAAAATTGGAATGTATGCAGAATTCACTTGATTGAAATTTAAGTTCATGTCCATGTCATTCTAAATTAAAATGTCGAAGTCAATAAACTTCACATTAAAATTAGGTATTAAAATTCAAATACCATTTTTGTGTTGTAAAGATGAAAAAATGTTATAATTTTTATTTATTAACACAATTAATCATTTAAAACTATTTAAATTGACAAAATTATTAATTAATATCATTAATGTTCATAAAAATATATATACGATAATATACTCTTTGTAATAATGAACATCTGAAAAGCTGTTTGATGACTTAACAAAATAATATATGTATCTGTTTAATGTGTTCATTATAAGAGACATTTTCTCAAAAAATTTTATAACCTCCCCTGGTCGAGCGCGTTAAGGCGCTCCCAGTGCGGTTGAGAGATATGATGGTCGAGGGTTCGAGTTTCAGAGTCAACTCGTCGGAAAATCCAAGATTGAGAGATGAATAATCATTTTTTCTATTTTTTTCTATTCCCAGTACATATTAAGTCAATAGAAAAGAATTCAGACTTCTTATTCTTCTTAATGCGCAAAGTTTAATATTTTCAAATTTTTGGTAGCGAATAGAGAAAAATTAAATGTTTGGAGAGTAAATTTTAAATATCTATTCCTTTCAATCGACAGTATCAAAATTTCTGAAGCGCATTGAAAGGAATAAGAAATTTGGAGAGTGAAGTGGATATGTCTATTCCTTTTAATTGACTGTGTCATGACATCAGGAGCGTATTTAGAGGAATAGAAAATTTGTAGATTAAATGAGGTATCTTTATGCCTTGCAATTGACTGCGTCAGGTTACATGTATAATTTAGAGTATAAATTTTGGCCAAGTCAATTAAGAAGAATAGATTTTTCTACTTTTTTTTGCTTCATCGAGGAATTGAATAAAAACGTAAAATCACCCATTCAAAGGAATTCAGATTCTGAATTCTTTTCGATTCTTCGCTTCTTACCGGGTAGGAAAAGTTTTATTTAATATTTTAAAATAATATTTCCTGTTACATTATATTTACTAAATGGCATGTGATTCTGCTCTTCATTGATGGAATTAATTTTTGTCGACCGAAAGTGCAAGTATCGTAATTCAATTATTTCATTTTATTTGACCTATATGTAAACAAAATTTCTGTTCTATTGTAAAGAATTTATTTATTATTTTATTGTCCTAACGTTTCAACATCCTCTTTAAAAACCAGAAGGAAAATTTTAAACAAAATCTCGTGTGATCAACAAAATCTTCGATTAAATTGGACAATTTACAAAATTACGTTATCAAATGAAAGTTTAGTATTCTTTAATCTTTTCGTGCCTGAGCTGGGTCCCTTGGACCCAGACAATTTGCTTTTTCATCTACTTTTATTTAAGAAAATATTTTTTCAAAATCGTTATCCAATTACATAAGCTGATGCTATAACGTACATTTTAAACAATATGTGAGTATAAAATCTTGAATAACCTACTGCTATTAAAATCTTGATTTTTATTGAATTAAAGCAGCTGGGTCCTTCGGACCCACCACAGGCAATCACTTCAAAAAATGAACTCAGACACGTGAGGGTTAAATATAGTGTCCTAATTTAAATTCCAAAATTGTATCATATATGTTTGACATTAAATAAAATAATTATTTACTAACCTCGACAGTATTTTGGATACACAGCCATGAGACACCCTAAGCTGTCTGGAAATATCACACGGTCGAACACCACTATGTGCTAGCTCAACTATCCTTTGTCTCACTACATCAGGTAAGGGTCTTCCATTCACAAAAACACCTCCCAGTTGATTCACTCCCCCATGACCTGTAAATATGAAAGGATGTGATTTAAAAAAAATGCTGTAAGAATTTAAAATCATAATATTATCTTTGATATTCACATCAATTCGAGACAACGCATTTATTATTTTGTTTATGTATTGTATATATATATACAGGAACTTTCATTGTATGGACAATTAAGTCCGAAACATTTATATTATTGATTTGATTAGTAAATCATAATTATTATTAATTACAATAATTAATATTAATAACTTAATTTAATATAATACTAATGATAATAATAATAGGGGAGAGTCAGTACGGTTCAGCCGCCTTTACGGTTGGGCTCAGTACTGCGTTTAAAGCCCTTTCACATTAGCGCCATCTACCTTTTCTAAACTTTTCATGTCACTTTTAGCAAGTCTCAGTGAAATGCGCAATTTGCACAGACATGTTTTGTAAAATTGCGCTTAAGATTTAAAGGAAAACTTGTTTGTGGTGCCCCAAAAAGTGAATTGAACAAAAGAAGAAGATGCAAACAATAAAGTAAGTTGACTAAGTTTGTTCGTTAGAATGTTCTTTGAAAATGTGGTGCCTTATTTGATGTTTGTATCATGCGTTTTTTGTCTGTGAAATATAATAGTAAAACGACGTGATAGTGATGGTTGGGCCAATAAATTTAGTACTATTTGAGGCACTTAAAATTTTGCAATTATGATACGTCCTGATATCATAACTTCATTTTTCGACATAGCGATGTGTCAAAAACGTCAATCACCAGTGGGAAAAAAATATTTACGTTTTAGAAACGTTCCTAAAACTATTCATAACGTCTTATTTCGAGTCTACTGCAATAAAGCATTGTAAACGTTTCATGTTCTGAAAACGTTTTGAGGGCGTTCATTAATTTAAATTTGTACTCCCTCCCCTTTTGTAAGATTTTTTGGGACCCCCCTCTCTTGAAACGCTTTCAATACTTTATTTTGACATACATGAAACGTTTTAGAAACGTTTCTTTAAAGTGAATCTAATGGATTTTATTGGAAAAAATTTAAATATTAATAATTATTAATAATTAATTAATAATAATTATTAATATTTAAATTTTTCCAATAAAATCCATTAGATTCACTTTAAAGAAACGTTTCTAAAACGTTTCATGTATGTCAAAATAAAGTATTGAAAGCGTTTCAAGAGAGGGGGGTCCCAAAAAGTCTTACAAAAAATATAATTTTTGTCATTTTTAGGGTTTCGTGGCCCATGGCCGAAAGCCTTATAGTTTCACTTTGGCGTCCGTCTGTCCGTAGTATATTTTGGGGCACCACAGCTCCTAAAATCAAATTTTAGGGCACAGATCCCAAATTAAAATTTTGGGGCACCACAGATCCCAAATTAAAATTTTGGGGCCCCACAGATCCCAAATTAAACTTTTGGGGCACCACAGATCCCAAATTCAAATTTTGGGGCCCCACAGATCCCAAATTAAACTTTTGGGGCACCACAGATCCCAAATTCAAATTTTGGGGCACCATAGCTCCCAAATTCAAATGTTGGGGCCCACAGATCCCAAATCTCCATTTACTGAATGGACATTTTCCGGAATGGACATTACATGAATGGACATTACATGTCCCATTAGTTAACATGCCCCTATAATTGACATGTCCCAGTAGTTGACCTGTCTCAGTAATTGACATGTCCCAATAGTTGACATGTCCATATAGTTGACATGTCCATATAGTTCACATGTCCCTATAGTTGACATGTCCCAGTAGTTGACATTAAAATTTAAAGCGCCACGAAACCCTAGATGTAGGCGCAATTGCGCCTAGTTCTTTTCCTATTTTTCTTAAATTTTCAGACCAATTTCGAGAAGAAAGAGAAAAACCAACAGCGGGAATTTTGATTTGCTTGACGTATGCTAGTTCACATAGACAGTGGCGCCCTTAATAAGGGCAAAAAATATTATATATCTTGTAACAATCATAATTGTATTTAAATAAAATTACACAGTCCCACAAAAAAGTGCCGGGGTTCGATGATCAGATTACCCTACCTCCATGTATTTTGAGTCTTGGTTGAATAAAGTTTTTTTTAAATTGTTAAATTTATTTGAAACTTGGTATCTAGAGGTTTTTGACGTCGCTGATTAAGAATCTGAAGTCAGATTTTTAAAATCCAAAATGGCAGATCCAATATGGCGGACAAATTTTTAAAAATTCATTAAATTCAATTGAAGAATTTTTGAAGAAAACAAAAAAAACCAAAAGAATTGATATCTACTGATCGAAATTAAACATCACTGATTTGAATCACATTTGTGCACAAAAAAAATACCAAATTTCTTTTTTTGGTTGAGAAAAAATAAAATCCTCCTAATTTTTTTTAATGCCGCTAAAAAACTATTGCCTTTTCTATATATTTAACAGGTTTAATTATATTGAAGTGAAATAAATGAGATTAAGAATAAAATCAAAGTTTTCTCTCTTTGAATATATTTGTTATCAACAGAAATTAGTAGACTGATGTTACTCAAGTGCTGGATCGAGCATTACTCAAGTTGTGGTTTGAGTTGTGCGAACTTGACCAAATTGCGGAGCTGATTGTTCGAGGTGGAGAGAGCTGGCAGCCCTCGTATAGTTGCGGTCAGCAACCGTGACGACTCGCAGCAACTCACAGGGTAGTAAGAGCACACTTTGCTGTTCTCTCTCTCATTCTCTCATATAGTCAAACGAACCCCATGACTACCGGCCTAACCATGGGGATGTGACCATAAACGTGAGAGAGTTGATTTGCGACCGGAAGTGCGAGTATCGTTTCAAGCAATGATAGAAGCTTTACTGATGATGATAATAATAATAGTAATAATAATAATATTAATAATATTAATAATATTAATAACAATAATAGTAATAATAATAATAATAATAATAATAATAATAGAATAGAAAATTTTATCAATGGTCTAGTATTGGTCTAGTACTGGGGGTCAATTACGTAACTTTTTCCGGATTCCACATTTCGGATTCCTGATCCCACATTCCGTATTCCACTTCCCGTAATCCAAATTCCGGATCCCACGTTCCATATTCCGTATTCCAGATATCACATTTCGTTTTCTGGATTCCACATTCCGTATTCCAAATTCTACATTCCGAAAAATCGGGATACAAATCGACCATGATCCGGAAAGTAAAATGCGATATACGAAATGTGGAATACGGAATGCAAAATGTTGAATCGGAATTTTGATAGTGGAATCAGGAATACGAAATGTTAGATCCGGAATGTGGAAAGTGGAATCCGGAAAAAGTTACGTAATTGTCTAGTAAATATTGAAACTCAAAGAAAATTCTTATTTTTGATTTTAAATTACTATAAAATTATTATTATTATTATTATTTCAGAAAAAAAATATTATCAGAAAAATATTGATATTGTTACAGAATTATTGTTACATAATGGTTATCCTTCGAATTTTATTGAAAAACATATAAAAAAACGTGTTCATATTATAAATCAAAATCAACGACTTCCTAATAAAGAAACATATTATTGTAGAGTTAAAAAGATTGTTTTACCATATTCAGAAGAGATTTTTTACAAAACATCAAATTTACTATACGAATTCAACTTTAACAATTTCACAAATGAATCAGAATAATAATTACGTAAAGAAAGGCAAAGACATTACAAATAAAAACCAAAAAACAAACTGTGTTTATAAAATTAAATGTAAGGATTGCTCTGCGAGCTATGTGGGTGAATCAAAGGGAATGCTTGGTGTGAGAATTAATGAACATAAAAAATCAAAAACAAATGTTATTGCGACACATAAACAAGATCTTAAGCAGGATTTTGATTGGGATGGTTGTTCAATTCTCGACAATGAACAAAATTGGCGAAAAAGAGTCATCTCTGAAATGATACATATAGGGCTACAAAAGAAACCTCTTAACAAAAAGGATGATATTAAAAATTTGAACAAGAACTATATAAACTTCTTTTCTAATTATAAATTCAAATAATAGAGTTTATTAATTTACTTTTCATAGATGAGTTTCTATCAGTACAATTATACTTGAAACGTCATAATCTGTATACAACTACGACGAGTTCAATGACCTAAGAATGTACACTACCTTTTCGTTTGTCAAATCCGTATTATATGAAAAATTGTTTATGATTAGTTTGTCTGTGAACACTGAACAGAAGTCACAGACTTTTTTTCGGTAATATTCAAAATTTTTAAATTAATTAACTATAGTAATTGTAAATTATTGTTATTGTAATATTTTTTATAATAAAAAAAAAACAATTCTTTTAGTTTCTGATGAGGACAGCTGTGCTGTCGAAACGTTAAGAAAAGGGATCATTTTTTATTTTTTATTTTCCTTTTTTCAAATATTACAATTGACTTGGAAGATTGATAAATTTTAACAACTTTAATATTATTATTATTATTATTACCTATATGATAATTATAAGAAACTTTGCACGCATAGAAAAAGTTTGCTGTATAGCAGCGAAATATTTTCTGTCACATCTAAATTATACGTTAACTAATAATATAGGGACAGCGAACAAATTTTCTGTGGAGTCAAAAAAGTTTGCTGTGACAGTACATTTTTAAAAATTAAGACTGATATTGTTAATCAGAGCAAACTTTTTCGTTGTCATAGCAAAAAAATTAGCTGTGATTACTAATTTTGATAGATCCGATAGCAAACATTAGTTAGCGTCTGTAAGCAATTTCTTTTTTCCGTGTGATATTGAAGAATGTACATATATAACGTCCACATAACACCTTATAATCCGAATTTTAATTAAATTTTTATTTTATCCAAATTCAAGATGAACTTTAGATAAATAATTTATTTCCTAGCTATAAGTTATGTAATGAGTTGTAGCATAGAAAGTTAGAAATTGACGGTTGAGTTTCACTTTTTTTTTAAACTGAAACGTAAACTATTACATAGAAAAATCGTTGAATTATCTATAGTTTTTTTTTAACTTTATTGTATAGAAACATACTGTGAA